GCCTAAATTAAAACTGATGTTGTAATAAAATTTAGCATGTCCAGTAAGTCTGTTATACTTCGCTGCAGTTGTTTTTCGGTGAATGTTTTTCATTGTTACTATATTGCTTAATGGATTGTTTAACACATTATAAAACGGAATCGGGTATTTCTAAAATTATTACTTTGTGTGTATTTCGGTGAGAGGGGGAGTTGATCGTTACACCGTCGATAATCCTTACAATTTTAGCGGAGGTAAATTGCCCTGCTAATCTTTAACCAGGCATGATTGTATTTCCAGACCTTTTCGCATGTGACTTAGGTAAAATATTTGCTTTGATTAGAGCATTTTTGACGTGTATTACGCGTGCCTCGTGACTAGCACTTTTTGTACGTTTTAGTGATATTGATTTATTTTTTTACAATAAATTTAAATATTCATAAACATAATTATGTTATACTATTTATCTAACATTCGGTGCTGTTAACCATGAAATACATTTTTGTTTTTTAACTATTATTCAAGATTAACTCGCAAGTGTGACAAAGCTAATCTCAAAACTATTTACTGTCACCTTACATCCAATCTTCAGCAAGACGTTTAACTACTCCTCTTAATTGTTTAGGTGTTGGTCTATATATTTTTCCCGATCAGAAGGTAAAAAAATGCACAAGCTTCAGCTAGACCGCTGTATTCTTCATTGGATTAATACTTAATATTTTCTTTTCTGTACTCTGTTCACAGTAAGTATATATAGCTCATATACCTTATTAAATGGTCTGCTATTAATTAAGCAACAATATGTGTTTATGTACAATTTGTTTTTGTCTGACATTAGAAAATTATACATACATATATATATATATATATATATATATATATATGACGATAACAAAAATATTAAAAGCTAGTTAAGTTAGTAAGAGGTTCACAGTGTCTACCACTAGGCGTCGCTGCTTAAGAAATAAATGGAAACCTTGACATTAAAGAAGACAGGTAATTGTTCTGGACAGGTAGGTATACTAGACTGCTGGATGAGAAAAACGTGTCTTCATTTTTGTTGGTTTTGTTATCTGCTTTTCTAAACACCTGCGTTCAAAGCTTGTCATGCTGTAATCGCATCTTGAGCAAGTGCATTAAGTAAGAAATAAACGAGACAGATTTCTATCTGCATATCTAGCTCACTGTCTGCCTGTCTATCAATCTTTATATGTGTCCATGTGTCTACATGTGTATCTGTGATTTTTATCTACAAAGACTTGATCTATCTCTCTATCTGTAATATATTTTATATCTATTATTCTCTATCCTAGAATTTTAATTAGTTTATACTGTATTACTAGAGAGGTAATGATCATTTCCCAACAAGCATTTTTGTACATTGAAAGGCATTGCCAGTTATTAAGCACGTTTTTTTTATTATTTTTAACAATTAACGAATGCGGTTAAGCCTTATCCTAACATGTTTTCCATTCTATAAATTAGCAGTAACATAAGTAACAAAAGTTCAGTGCTAAAGGTGTTTATTTTATAAGTAGCAGCAGGTTTATTTTTGCTTCTGTTTCTAACATTTATGATTTTTATCTTTTCGTCTGAAGTAAGGATGCCTTGGACTAAAGTTATGCTAAACTTATCATTAATCATAAATATTGATTGGCTGTTATTAACACAGTCTCTCAGCTCTTAGTGATGTTAATTATCAACGCTATTTTTTTTCTATAGTAATCAAATATGTTTTTGTTGATATATGTGTTTTGTTTGAGGTCATACAATTACTAACGCAATTAACTTTAGAAAACTAACTAGGTGTGTACTAGTGGTACTCATTTATCAAAACGATTTTCGTTATTCAGGTATTTTTTAATTCTTCTTGACTTCAGTATTTTATAATTATTGAACACTGCGTAAGATTAAACGGTTTACACGCAATCTTATTAATGACATTTAATCCAACTTAATACTTTTCTTCCCTACGTATTTGTCAAATTAGAGTCAAGTGAAAAACTGCATTGACAATTTTTTTTTCTGTTGCTTCCGATGTGTGTATTTCGAAATAATTTTCCACTCTTAAAAAATTCTTGGACGCTCTAACGGTGTGGGATAAATATAATGTTAACTTCAGTTTGCTTAATAGAATGTTAAGGAATTTTCATTGGATCAATGTCAATGTGTAGCGGTCCAATAAAGTTTTCCAGAGCAGAACTTTATCTCGAGTTTTAAATTAATTTAAGTTTAATATAGCACATTTTAAACTCTAACTATGGTGCTGTGCAACATCAGAAGGGTTTGTATATGAGCTTTGTTATTACATATTCCCTTCCTGTATTATTTCAATCATAAACTAAAGGATATATACTCAAAATACAGGTAGGCTTTTGGAGTGGAGAACTGATACTATTTTACTACTGACGTGCGATTAATATACAAACACACGTCACAAATGTTTATAGTACTGATGCCATTATACATATCTTCTCCTGTGTATTATATATATACACTTCCTTAATATTTATATAACAGAAGTTATCATTCCTTAGTACTGAGGATACCAACTCGAGTCATTACGTCATTGTAGACTCCTTAAGAAGTTTTCGGAGATTTACGTTATTACTTGTTCTCTCCTACATATTCTTGTTCTTAAATTCATAATACATTAAAGTCTAAAAGAATTTACTTAACTTACATTTACAAATACTTTTCCTGTTGATTCCTGTATTTAATAAGTTCATAAGATATAGACGACTTAAAATTATGCGGAAATTATGTTGTCAAGTAACTTCTTCTGTATAAATTTTTCTTATGTTTGTAAAGTTTATACGCCTTAAGATTAATAGAACTAACATCATTACGTATCGTCTCTTATAGTGTTTTGTCATGAATTCCTAAGACTTACGCCCTAAAAACCTTTATAGAACTCCCGTCATTACGCATCCTCTCCGGTACATTCTGCTTAAATGCTTAAGACCCTAAAACGCCTCCGTACATCTGTCATCAATACATATATTTTCTTATGGATCTTCTTCTCTAGTGTATACACGTTAAGAGTATTGTGTAAGTTAATTTTTTCTTTGGCCAGTTAGCAAAATCTTCAACAGATTGTATCTGTTTTTCATAATACAAGTTCTAGTGGATATGGTTGTTATATATGAATGATAGCTTATCATTATGCTTTAGGTGATTGAACTGTTGCGATTTATTAACACGAGCAGCTTTGATAGTATTACGAATGTTATTCTTGAGAAGCTAAAAAATCATGATAATCCTAAGCAATGAAATCGGTGCGTTTTACTCTGAGATTATCTGGTTTTGATCACTGAACACTAAATTGTGACTATTATTTACACGAATGTGCTGTTTAATTATTTTCGTGAGCTTTATGAATTTCGAACATAAAGTGAAGTTCGAATTATTCCGAATTACACCAGTTTGTTAGTTATTATTGAAACAGACAGAGAAATATGAGTAATTTTGAGACCATTGAATGATGTAGGGCAAATATGTTTATGCGTTTCAGGGGATGCTAAACTGAGGTAATCCCTTGGGCATTTTTCTTCTCTCAAGAGTAATGTTAAATAACATAAAACCAATTAACTATTGGATGGAGACTTATATAACTTAAGGTTCATACAGTAGCACTGCCCCCAGTGGCGCAGCGGTATGTCTGCGGACTTACAACGCTAGAAACCGAGTTTCGATACCCGTGGTGGGCAGAGCACAGATAGCCCATTGTGTAGCTTTGTGCATAAATTCAAACAAACAAACAAGCACTGACCTTGGAATAACTTTCAATGACCCTTCTCCCCAAGATATCTCTGGAAAATGAATAAATAGTCTGTAATCTATATGGAACTGATTGGATTGTAAATCCATAAGTGGCAAATAAACAAGTCGAAACAGATCAATTTGCAGTTCAGCGTGATTACATATCAACAACTATAGCCATATTGGCTTCCAAATGATTAGCCAGTTTTCGCCGTTCAGTAACGAAACTTTAAATAAAAGCTAGATTTTATAATATATTTTAAGTCTGAAACGTTTCAATAATCACAAACACAGCTGCTAGGATACACACACATCTTGGAGATATTTAGTATTCTTGTACGTAGACATTCTGTAGAAACTATAGGGCAACGGAGAGAGGCTCGTACTTGGCTTTTTTAAATGACCATCTATTATAACGTAGGGGATTATAATATGATGTTAAATCTAGAAATAATAATCTGAGATTGCACAGTTATCAAGCTGCAAAGTTTGATCCAGACATCACACAATCTCAGATTACGCAGTTATCAAGCTGCAAAGTTTGATCCAGACATCACACAATCTGAAATTACACAGTTATCAAGCTGCAAAGTTTGATCCAGCCATCACACAATCTCAGATTACACAGTTATCAAACTGCAAAGTTTGATCCAGACATCACACGGTATAATGTCTGAAAATTCGATATATTATAACAAAATGCAATATATCAATTTTTAGCTATAAATTAAACAAATATATTAAATTCGTGATATTCTTTATTCACAGGAGCCTTTTAATCAAAATCAAATGAAATCAACGAGCTACATTTACTGTGATAATTACTTTATGGCGGAAACCTGAAATCGGGTTCTGAAGCCGCAGTACGCTGTCATTGACTTTGTTGAATAGTGTACTTTGAGGTGAAAGAATTTTTTTTTTTTTACCTGAAAATGTCCTTTTTGCTTGGTGCTGTGAGAGGAATTTTTAAAAGTTAACATGTTGCCTAGATGTCGGTAGTTGTCGCTTCAGACACAAAGAATTATGACAGGTGGTTATCGTGTCGTCATATCTGCATGATTTGTATGCAAAAAAGTATACAATAACAGTTCTTCGGGTATAAAAGATATAAAAAGGAAACCCTTTAAAGTACCTTGACCGAAGTCAGATTCTCTAAGTGAATGACTTCGTCGTGGAAGTCAAGCACGCTTTGATCTCGGTAAACATAAAACTTTGTCGGCATCTGTTGACTTGATTAACTTGTTCGTTAATCCTGTTAGGTCCAACTCGCATCGGCGATATGTCGTCCAACGTTGTCAGCAGTCAATTTACTAGAGCAACAGAAGGATGGAAGGAAGCTAGACGTTCTTTAGCTTCGTCATCAGTGACATCTAGTGGTCTTGGAAGCGGCGGAAGCATGCTCGGAAACGACAGCTCAAGCGATCATAACCACAGCGATGTCAACCAGAGCTATAATAAGACGGATTTCAAGGGCCCTCCGAAACTTACTCCTGTAAGTGGAGTTTTTAGATCAAAGGTAAGAATATATTAGTTGGCAAATATTGCTGTGTGTAAATTGAATTTTGATACAACTATACTATAAAGGGGCTCGTGTGTCTGTTTATTAGTTTTATTTTTTTTAATTCCAACTTCCCACACTCTAATTGCCATGAAACTTTCAGAAGTTCTTGGAGACCCCCCCCCCCCCGATAGATTCTACAAACACTTACTATATTCTTTTATTGTTAGTTAATATTTCCAATAAAATATCACTAGCTATTATATACATTCTCCCTGATGCATCCACAGTTTTGTTAAACCCTTTTAAATTTATGGCAACTAGGTCATTATCAGAATACACACCCGTTCTTTTCGTTGTTTGTGAAAATTATTTTTAGCACAGTTTCTTAAAAATACGCCATTAGAAACGGAACAACATTTTGCCTGACGTTTGACACTAGGTGTCATTTAAAGAGTATTGCATATGAATTCAAAGGTCAATGTGAATCCATATATGAGACCTACATTAGTTTCTGCCAGCTGTAGGCCACTACTGTCATTTTCCATTGTGTTTTATGGATAACTGAAAAATCTAGTAGCGAAAGTAACAAAGCCTCTGACAGAGTATTGTCTTTACTTTATTGCTATTGTCAGAGAATTCCAAAATGAGGGTCTTTAAGCCTATGGCCGTAGTAAATACAAAACATTTTCCTCCTAAATTATTCTGACTTTTCTTTAGAATTTAAATTTTTCATTATTTTAAAATGTTATTTATAATGAAACTTATTCCATATGGATTAATTTATTGGGTGGGGGTTCTTAGTCAAGATGTCTAATGCCTTGGGGGGGGGGACAACGCGTACGTATTTTGTTTTAAGCGTAATCACATTAGCGCATATGCATCATGGATTTTTTAACGTAAACCTATATTGATTGAAATAAAAAATCCTGCGTACTTCACCCATTATTCTTATGTGTAAAGTGGTTACGAACTTAATTTAGAAATGTTAACTGCATAACATAACTGTTTTATAGAAATAAAACACGAAAGCTGAGGAAACAAAATTAATCTCGTGCACGTTAAGTTTGAGAAAACTATAAATTACATCTTTAATAGTAACGAAAACTTGTTACCTAATTCGAGATGCTCACCCAAAACTTAGTGAAATATCTTGACGAAAACCGAAGAAGGTACGTCTGTAAAGATGATTAATAATAAACTTCAAAGAAACGTTTATTAAATAGGCTTATTTAATTTTGGATATTAAAAGGAAGATTAGAAGTTCTTTAAACAGGGTTAAGTGCTTTTTCTCTTGCCTCAAATATATTCGTTTATAGTTTAAAGATAATAATTATAACTCTGCTAGGAATAATTATAGCTACAAATAATCTATTTGCGTTATCAAAAATATAAACTTCGTCCATTGAAAGTTTTGAAAGATATTTCTTTCCTACTATTTTAATTAATTAATCAGAATGCTTAGGTTGTTTAAATATATTTCTGATTTTTATAAGAGTAAGTTATTAAAATGTACGCATTTTCATATTATGTTAAAGATTCTAGCATTTACTATGGTATTTTTTATAGTTTATCAAAACGGGTTCTTCATAATGTATGACCCGAAGTGTGTACACTGTACTGACTATTTATCGGATACTTCTATTTGATTGTAATTCACCAAACAAGGACAGAAAATATTATTTTACAGCGTATAAAACCTGTACTTTAGTACATTTGTTTATACTTAGAAGCAGTAACATTGTGTCACATGATGTATGGGTGTATAAAAATTGTTGTTTTACCAACGATTCAATTTTCCATTGTGCACACAGCAGCAAAACTTCATCGATATCTGGAATCTTTTTGGGATTGGGGAGGGTCAGGTGCTACTTACACGTAACGTCAATTCAGAGAGAACAAAAAAAAACCCACTAGCACTGAGTTATTAGCACTAGGCAGTGTCGTTATTGTTAAACTTCTGTGCCTACCTGCCTTTGTTTTTCTACAACGCTAGATTGACTACATCACCACGACTTGAAAGAACACAAAATATCACGATGGGCAGATATACCTTCATAGTTATACCCTTCTCCTTGTAGGGTATACCTTACATTTTTGAAAATAATTTCTCATGACAACGAAGAAAGGACAACGAGTTGTTTGTGTGTGTGTGTAACTGTGTACACACACACACACACACACACGTGTGTTGGACAGCCTTTTTGAAACACCTAGTGCAAGTAACTTAATAACGTGTAGTTCCACCTTCGTCTTTTGGAACTTCTTCAGTTCTTTATAGCAGGACACTTTTAAGTTCGTAAAAAGTATAATGAAGAATTAGGATCCACTCCTTGAAGAACAGCGATCTTGTTCACTCTTGGTGATTTTTCCAACCACTAATTTACCTAACGAGACTTATGGAATAATTGTCATACTGTAATAATGTTTAATAATGTTCATTTTCCAAAGCTAAAAAATTGTACAATTTGGGTGACTAAAGCACTACTTATTAGTAATTGGGTTCTGACAAAATTTTCTCTTTGACAACATTTAAGTCACATTTCTTTCCCATGCTGCTAGACAACTAACGTGCAATACAATTTACATGTGTTTAAATAATACAGTTTACCTGTTTAAGGGGTCATTGGAATAACCAATTAATATGTCTATTTAACATCTGGGAAGAATAAGCACATCTTTATGCGGATTTGTAATTTTTTTGATCGTACCACTCTAGATAAAAAATGTATATAATTTCGATAAGTACTGTTGCCATTAACCAGGCTAACATTTAGGTACTGGGTTGATAAAAGATACAGAATAAAACCACAACTATTTTTGTTTTGTTAATTAACTGTAAAATCATATTAAAAATAAACTATATAAAATGGAGTGTAATATGTTACAAACTTTCTATAGTTAGCGACAAAGAGAAGAGAAGAAACCGAATCTTCTTGAAGCAGACAATAGCATAAGAGAAGTGATTATAAATGTACATCCACACTTTTGAAAAGTCATATCTAAAAATTGCAGAAAGCATAACCAACAAATAATTTGTAAAAAAAACAACTACGTTAGATAAATATTTTTAGCTCATCTTGTGTATTTCAAGGCTAAATTCAGAGTATTTAAAGGAGTATTCATCAAAGGAAAAGCGATATTTTAGCAAAACGCAGGAAAGTTGTAAAAAAAAATTATGTTACATCTTGGATACAAAAAAAATCCCTTTTTGTGGGGATTTGAAGTACGATATAACCCTAAAAATGATCAAAAGCTATTAAAAACTGTTATTATCATTCATCGATGATTCGGACGTAATATTGAGTACTAAACAACAAAAAAAAACCATAGGGTGTTAGCTAATCACAGAAAAAGCTTATTTTAACAGGCCAATTTATTTGGCTATTAAACAAGTCTAAAGATAGTTTCTACATACAATGGAAACTAAGACTTCATGCCTGTAAACGGAGATTTTGCGATACAATTACGGCTCGGGAATATTCGTGTATTTTTCAACAGCTAGAATTAAGTACAAGTGAAAACGCACTCATTTTTCTTTTTAAGCAGACTTCCTCATGCTTGCTTGTATGCCGGCGTGTGTTATGACGGTTTTCGTGACTCGATAAAGTTGTGTAATTGAGCCTTAAGTGGCGTTGACCGCCTCCCCCCCATTCCCTAGACATACACTAACTTGTGCACATATTTGTTAGGAGTTCGTCCTTGGCCTTAGTGAATCTTTTTATGATAACTGTACGGCACTGGATCAGACTTGAAAGAACGATGTCGTATACGTACACATTACTTGCTGAAAAGAATAAGGTTAGTACTAAGACAAGAAAGAAGGGCAATCAAAATGTTTCTGCTTCATACCGATCTATCATTTTATGTTTTTTTTTAATCATCTTGATAATCAAAGTGAATATTAATCGGTTTATTAACCTTTATGAATCATCTCGATAATCAAAGTGAATATTAATATGTTTATTAACTTTTATGAATCATCTCGATATCAAAGTGAATATTCATCTGTTTATTAACCTTTATGAATCATCTCGATAATCAAACTGAATATTAATCTGCTTATTAACCTTTTTGAATCATCTCGATAATCAAAGTGAATATTAATCGGTTTATTAACCTTCGTGAATAAGCCATTATCTTTCTACAAGCCTATGAATCTGTTGAGAGATTATCAACTTGTATGTTTAAGTACCAATGGTTCTGTTTGTTCAAAATTTGAGCTTCGAGGGGTACACCATGCGTGATCGTTGATCTCGACTGTATGACGTCATTAATTATATATATACCCATAATCAGTATTCGGTAATCTTGACAGCTATGTTTGATTGGATTTTATCACTTGCAAAAATATAATAATAATTTGAATATATATGTATGTGTTTAAGAGTTTTTAATAGGGAGGAAACGGATACATATCCCGTCCTCCAATGCTAAAGGTGCAAGTAACCTGCCCCCCCCCCCCATACACACATTCAGAATAGTCACCTATAACGGTTTACTTATACCCAGTTTTCGTTGAGTCAAACAAGACATGATGTATTCCAGTGATGCCACTTCCTTTTGGTTAATGTTTCAGTATAGAGCATTTATTAAGGTTAACGTATAAGTGGTTGATTCCTATATACATATATTTTGAGTTATATAAGTTGTGTTTTGTTACCTGAAATAGTGATCATTTACTGATATAATAGCTTAAGTTTTTCTAAACATGGGCGCTCACAGAAATATTTTCAAGGGAGGGGCAAAACATGTATGTAGGGGATCAGCTTTTACACTGTAAGTCAATAGACTAAAATAACATATGTTATGTGTGCTCAAATGCAAATACAAATTTACAGTTTTAACAAAAATTACTATAAGTATTTAGTTTAACTACGATGTTAAGTTTGAGATCGTAATACGTGCAATTTTTTTGTGAAATGTAAAGGGGAGCAAATGGTCCCTCTTGCTCCTTCCCGCGGGCGCTCATGCTTCCAAATGTGCCAAAAACAAAGGAAATTGCTGTGGTTAGAATGTTTAATACCTCTGGTTTTATTATTTTTAATTTATTGGTATTTTTCTTTTATTATATATATTGTTTTTATTATTACCTTATTATATGGATTTAGGTCTCCTAAGCTGGCCAAACCTCATGAGATATTATTGGGTTTATGGCAGATAATATGTTTAACATAGAAAATATCCAACTGATAAAACATTAAATTATAATCTTTTAAAGTAAGAACGTAAGAAAATAATATTTTATTAGCTGAACTCAGTGCTGAGTTTATTTTCAGTTTTGGTCTAAATAGATTGATTGCTCTGATTGCAACTTAATATTAATTACTATTTTTATCTCGGTGCTTTAAAGTGGAATAATTCTGTTTTCAGGACAAATCTGTTGTGCGACCGGTGGCTTTTAAACCATTGATATGTACAGTCTTGAATCCTTTTCGTCACTCATCTTCCACCTTAATGATGAATACGATGATAAGTTCCAGCCCACACAGCACTGATACCGAGATCAAGAGCTGTTACGGAAGCACAATGTCTCACTCGTCTTCCCTGATCACTGAAGATGACCAAAAGTCCACGACTTACTCATTAGATAGATGCGTCAAACTTCTCGATACTCCTGCATCTTATGCTTCTTCGTATGCAGATAGCGGTGGGTCAACGTTAAACCTGGAAGAAATAATTCACACTCCGTCTCCGAGTGACAGTGGTGTGGAGGAATTCGAAGCCATACTGCGAGACAAGGACTCTGAAATTAACTTCTTAAGGGAGACGTTGGAACAGAATGAACAAGTGATTTTTAAAGTTTACGAAGAAAAAGAACAGATGTGGCTGAAAGAGATCAGAAAAATTCGCGACCACTATGACCATAAACTGAGAGCAACACAGCAACGGCTGGTTAAGATGGAGGAATTGCGAAACAACCAGAAATATCAGGTAAAATTGCAGAGATAATTCGAAGCAATATATATTGATAAAACCACAATCAAATGAAACTAAAAAGAGAAAGAGCTAACAGTAGCATTGGGTATTACCAGATAAAAATAGGAAATAGGTAACAATAACATTTCAATTGTGATTATGAATAGATATATATTTTATTAAAACTGAGGTACATTATACATAAATTATTTCATACTGAGCATTTCAGCATCTGAAAATGTGTAAGTCCGAGAAGAAGACAACAAAATCCTTTACTAGAAATATAATAGAAAATTAATATACGTATTTTGACAAAACCGAAGACTAATGTACTTCATAGCCAAGGATAGAACGTTCTTGATTTTTCATAGTGGGTATTGGATTACACAGACAACCATGACAGTATCTTACTAGTGTATGAAACTATAGCAAGTATTGTGGTATTTTGAACTTCCATTCAGAATCTGAGCAGCCAACGTGTTGCAAATTATCATGCAAAAAATCAAGCAAGCCAAACGCAAAAATCAAAGTTTAGCCTAAATGTAAATTATTTTATAGTAGAGAGGTTGATGCAAAGAGATTAGCCCTCTCTTGGCGTTTAAGAGTATTTCGATGGAAATCTTTATTTTAATTCACAAAAACATTGAAGCAGCCACTATAATTATCATGAAAAATTTCGGAGAACATAAATAAAATAATTTTAAGATATCCAGTCTATGATGAATATATCGCATGAAAGAGAAAAATTAAAGTTTCAAAGCTTAGTATAACATTAAGATAATTGCTTTTAAAACTGATGCTAGAAAAAATGTCATACAATGCTTTCCTTATATTGTTGCTTATTTTGATATTATATGTAAATGTTACAACACTTGGGGTGCTACTACTGAGATTTTGTGTTATATACATTACAATAGAATACAAAAGTCCTATTTTTATTAAAAATAATTTTTGACATTAAATAAACGATGCAAATCTAAATATCAATAAATCATAAACACAAATTATTTCTTGAGAACGTTCAAGCAGTGATTTGGTTTATATTCTAATCATTTGATTGTTTGTTATAGATTTTCGCGCAAAGCTACATGAGGGCTATCTGCCCTAGCCATCCCTAATTTAGCAGTGTAAGACTAGAGGGAAGGCAGCTAGTCATCACCACCCACTGCCAACTCTTGGGCTACACTTTTACCAAAGAATAGTGGAATTGACCATCACATAATAACGCCCCTACGGCTGAAAGGGCGAGCATGTTTGTTGGGACACGGATTCGAACCCGCAACTTTCAGATTGCGAGTCGAGC